TGGCGGTCCTCCAGGACGTCACTACCGAGCGCAGGAGCACCCCCGACAGACAGAGGACAGGCAGGGTCAGAGACCAGAGCAGTGGCGAAGTCAAGGCGGCGGGTAGAGGCGAAGTCAGCGACCGCAGCTACCAGAGCATCAAGGCACGAGACCGGAACAGACGGGTCGGTAAGGAGAGAGGCAAGGACCCGAGGAACAAGAGGACGAGCGGCACGAAGGTAGTCAGACAGAGGGGGGTGTTCAACAAGAAGGGAGGACGGAGGAGGCGACGGGAGAAGGGGAGGACGAGACGCGCGGGAACGAAGCAACATAGGGTGGGAGCGCAAGACAGAGAAGGCAGGACGAGCACGGGAGGGATAGTGAGACCAGACGTGAGACAGAGGAGTCGGGTCAGGAGACACTGGGGGGGAACGAGGGGGAAGACGAGCCGGGGACGAGTCCGTCGGAGGGAACACAGGGCCGTACACGGGAAGAAGAGGAGACGGCCGGAGAGGAGCTGACGCAGGGTCAGGGGACGGAAGGCCGAGAAGGCGAAGGGCTGACACCGGTGGGGATTGCTGCTGCGGCGGCACAACGCCGACACCGGGACCGCAAGCTGCTCCTCGGCTACCACCGGCACACTCCACGCCAGCACCCCCAGAGGGAACACCTCCAGGGCGCGAAACCGTTCGAGGACCGGTACCACCCCCAGGGGTACCGGGACTAGCACGCACTCCAACGCCAGCACCCCCAGAGTTAACGAACGGGTGCTGGGACAGCGGCGGCGGCGGCAGCGTCAACGACGGCGGCGGCGGCGGCGGAGGTGACAATGGCTGCGACAGTAGGGGCGACAGCGGCGGCAGAGGCGGTGGAGGAGGGGACGCCTGGGAAGGGGCAGCCGGCGAGGACTGCGCCGCAGGACCACCAGAGTCAGAAGACTCCTCAACCGGGACCACCGACGGAAGAGGGGTGACGTGCGACACACCAGAGGGGGCAGGACGGGGAGGAGGAGGGGGGGGGGCAGGGACTACCGGGGAAGGAGTGACCAGGAACAGGGGGGGGGTAACCGGGGGACCGCGGTGGGGGAAGCGACGGTAGAAGGAGACGGACTCGTCAAAGGTGACGTCGCGAGAGTGAAAGAAGTGGTGAGACGGCGGGTGGTAGAAGTGCGAGTCAGACGCGTCAAGGGGAAAACCGAGGAAGACGCAGGGAAGGGTGCGGGCAGTGAGCTTGTCCGTGCCGGAGGCACGGACGTGAGCAAGGCAGCCCCAGACGTGGAACGCAGACGCGTCACCAGGAGACCCAGTCCAAAGGAGGGTCGGCGAAACCTGTGGCTGCTGGGGGTGCGGCCACAGGTTAAGCTGGTGAGAAGCGTAGCGCACAGCGAATGGCCACAGAAAATGGGGTGCACCGGCATGGATCATGGAGGTGCGAGCCACCTCCATGACCAAACCGATGCGTCGCTCAGCGACCCCATTCTACTGTGGGGAGTCCGGAAGGGTGAACGTCTGGGTGATGCCCTCCGCACGACAAAAGCGACCAAGGACACCTGAGGCAAACTCGCCACCACGGTCGGAGTGAAGACGCAAGACAGGGAGACCTCGGTGGACACGCGCAGAGACAAGCCAGGGGATGAGAGCGGCAGGCACGTCGGCCTTCCGCTCCAGGGGAAAGACCGAGTTGTAGCGAGTGTAGTCGTCGACAAGCACAAGGAAGTAGCGCTCTCGACGCGGCCCATGGACGGGGGCGGGGCCCCAGACGTCCATGTGCAGGGTCTGCAGCGGCGCGGCGGTAGGGGGAAGCGAGGAGGAGTGAGGGGCACGGCGAAGCCGACCCTCGACGCAAGGCGTGCAAGGTGGGGCTGGGGAGGAGGGAAAAGCGGGGAGAGAACCAGGGAGACCAAGGACGAGACCGTGCTGGGACATGTGACGCAGACGCGGGAGCGCAGAATGACCTAGACGGTGGTGCCAAAGGAGAGTCGGGTGAGTGAGGGACCGACAGTAGCAGGCAGCAGCAACCTGGGTAGACGCAGCCACCTGAGGGGGCGCCCCAGCCGGGGGGGTCACGGTGTCCAGAGTGAACAGGCCGGACACCGGGTCCCGGGGGAACGTGGACAGGGGGGCACCAGTGGCAGCCTCGGTACAGACAGCATACCGCTCGTGACCAGGGAATGTAGTGGTGACGCCAAGGTCCTGGAGGCAGCCGACACCAACTAGGTTCCTGGAGAACGAGGGGATATGCAGACCTGTAAGAGAGCCCGAAGGAACCGCCGGACAGGGAAGGGTGGTGGAACTGCGGGCGACTACCGGACCGCTGGAGGGGTCAGCAAGAGAAACGGCAGCAGGAACAGGAAGCGGCGTCAGTGTAGTAGAGTCGCGGAAGAAGCACCGGGAAGTGCAGATTCCAAGGTGAAGGAAAGCGAAGGAGTGGCGTCTGGCGACGGGGCGACGGCGGAAGCACCAAGGCTAAACAAAGCAGGGGATCCTACGCCTGACGCAGCAGGGGAGGCTAAGCTAGGCACACCTACACTAGACGACAGTGAGTAATAAGCGGGAAGCGCACTAGAGGCATCAGCATACATCACATGCAGAGCAGAAACAATGGCATCCATCTCCATGTCAAAAATCTGAATCCTACGACTAAGCAAACTGTGCCAGTCCGGAAGGTATGGCGACGCGCCGAAGCGCTGACGAAACAGGTCGTCCAGGCGAGGAAAACAGCGGGGAGTGGTATGACCGAGCTTACCGCAAACGAAGCCGCGGCGAGGACCGGTCTGGATCTGGTTCTGACAACGCACGCCTCCTGAACCACCACTCGGCATACCACCACGTGCCCGACCACCTTCAGCGCCAGGCCACCCAGGCGGGAGGACACTCGCCTGCCTCGTCTGCGGCAGCTGCTGCGGAGGCTGCGGCTGCTGCGACTGCTGCGACTACTGCGGCTGCTGCGGCTGCTGCTGCTGCTGCTGCGACCGCGGAGGCGGCAGCGCAGCTGGACTGGGTAGGGTCCCCTCATCCGCTCCAGCACCAGACGACCCGACTCCACCACTACCCCCTCCTGCACCCCCGCCTCCTCCGCCGCGCCCAGCCTTGGGGCGGCGGCCCTTCTCCGAACGAAACTGCGCTGCAGCAGCAATCTCAGCCACAGCGACAGCACCGTCGGAGAAGGTACACTGAGCGGGGGCACAACCCTGAAAGATAGGGACCGGCACGGTACCGCTCGCCTGGGCGATGGAGCGGTGGCGGGTCTCAATAACAGTCAGGGTGTCTACAACGTCGGTGAGGGTGAGCTCACCGGGGTGAATGCTAAGGAAGCGGTCACGGGCGGTGGCAAGGCGGTCAGGGAGGCGGGTGGCAAGCAGGTAGAGGGTAGAGGTAATGGGCGGCTGGTGGGCTCTAAGCTGTGCGTCAGTGCAGGCAGCGCGCCAGGTCTCATCTATCGAGCGTAGGTGGGCAGCTAGGTCAGAGACAGTGGGGAAAGACGCAAGGTCGGGAAAGAGCATCGGGAGGAGCAGGCGACCCACCGAGGCAGCAGGAGGGGTGGAATAGCGCTTGATGACTGCATCTAAGTAACCCTGGGCGGTAGTGATGGACCTAAAGCGAGGGCGCTCGGACGGGGGAAGGGAATTGCTAATGGCAAGCTGAGCGACAGCGTCTCGGGAAAGCCAGACAGAGCGCGCAAGGGCAGTGGCTGCAGTAGACTCGCGCTCAGCGGGTGTGGGGTCAGCGTGCAGAACAGCAGGGGGGTCTGGGCAGGGGAGCGTACCGTCAAGGTGTGCGGAAAGCGGGTGGCTATCCTGCCGATGGCCAGTGAGGTGGCGACGGAGGTCGGCGAGCCACGCCTCGAACTCCAGAGGCTGGCCTTTAGCGTCGAAGCGAAGCTCCGCCGCCATCAGGAGCAGTGCAAGACTGTACAGCGCGGTGCAGGGCGGTTCAATGCGGTGCAGGGCGGTACCGTGCAGTGCAGTGCGGTTCAGGGATGGGGAATCGTACCAGGGAGGATGCAGGGCCGGGGCAGGGACGACGAGCGGGTTGCACACAGCTCGGGGCAGGACGGGCGCGGGGGCCAGAAGCAGCGGGCACCAGGTCGACGGGACGGGCGCGGGGCCGGCTGGGATGGGCGCAGGGGCCGAGCAGACGGGCGCGGAGATCGCAAGGGCGGGCGCGGGGCCGGCTGGGACGGGCGCAAGGCACGAGCGGCGGGGCCAGGCAGGCGCGGCGAGGCCAGGCAGGCGCGGCGGGGCCAGGCAGGCGCGGCGGGGCCAGGCAGGCGCGACGGGGCCAGGCAGGGCGCAACGGGGCTGGGCAGGGCGCAACGGGGCCAGCCAGGCACGGCGGGGCCAGGCAGGCGCGGAGGGGCCAGGCAGACGCGACGGGGCCAGGCAGGGCGCGACGGGGCTAGGCAAGGCGCGAGGGGGCCAGGCGGGCGCGACGGGGCCAGGCAGGGCGCGACGGGGCCAGGCAGGGCGCGACGGGGCTAAAAGGCGTGACGGGGCCCAGGAGGGGTGCGACGGGGCCCAGAAGGGGCGCGACGGGGCCAGGGGGGCGCGACGGGGCCCAGGAGGGGCGCGACTGGGCTAGGGGGCGCGACGGGGCCCAGGAGGTGCGCGACGGGGCTAGGGGGTCGCGACGGGGCCAGGGTGGGCGCGACGGGGCCCAGGAGGGGCGCGACTGGGCTAGGGGGGCGCGACGGGGTCGGGAGGTGCGGCAGGGCCCAGGAGGGGCGCGACGGGGCTAGAAGGCGCGATGGGGCCCAGGGGGAAGCGGCGGGGCCTAGCTAGGGTACGGGCGGAAGCGGTAGGTGGGGGATCCTAACCTACGCGTGATACCATGTCAAAGTGAGAACTGAATGATGAGTAGAGGGAGAGTACAGGTGAATATACCTAAGTGTTGTACCCTCTAAGAGGTGGCCCTATACAGTCTATGCAAACATAGGAGATACACATGTTTGACACTTCTTTCTTTCCCTCCCATTCTTGACCATATTCTTCACCCGTTCAAGCCGAACACTTCTGCAAACCTCTTCCATCCAAGTCTCAATTTCCGCAGCATCACACATACTGTACATACACAAGGTTAGATGCTCTCAACCAGGAGTCCTATCAACCTACCGTATTATGCAGCAGCTGCACCCAAGGGTCGACTGGCCCTGGATGGCAGTTCCAGCTGCCATTATGACTCGCTGAACCACTCTCATCTCAACCAGAAGTCCTCATGGCAGCTGCACCCACCTATGGACCTTGTGTGACAGCAATGCAGGGAGTCCCACCGGCCAACATGCCTCACCGCACCACACTCAACCACTCTCAACCAGGAGTCCTATCAACATATTGTGCAGCAGCTGCACTAGTGTGTCCATGGGCCCTGGATTCCTCCTGGGATCTCCTTAAAGCCCCAAAAAAAAAAAAAAAAAAAAAAATGGCCCTGGATGGCAGTATGCAGGCAGTCCCATCTTCCAACATGCCCCAAAGAACCACTCTCAACCGCTTTCAACCAGGAGTCCTGTCCTGCCAACATATTGTGCAGCAGCTGCACCCGAGTATCAACTGGCCCTGGGAGGCAACAGCAAAGCAGGCAGTCCCACCTCCCAACATGCCCATCCGCCCGCCACACAGCCGACGCATTCACATCCATGTACAGTACACCCCTCCCACCCATATCCCCTCACCCAACCAGCAGCCGCATTCGAGAGTAGGGGGGACTTTCGTCACTATTCCGTCCCCTTCTCTTTCACGCCATGTGCACACTTCACACCCCTCCCTCCACCCCCGTTGCAAGCGGCTTCCAAATATCATTCTCTGCTGCAAACCTGTCTCAATAACATACCTACTGTACACAAGGTTTGTCACTTGCAACCAACAGCCCCAGCAGCATGCTGTGCAGCAGCTGCACCCAAGTATCAACCGGCCCCGGGTGTCAGTAGTGCAGGCAGCCCCACCTGACATTATGCCTCACTGAACCACTCTCAACCGCGTTCAACCAACAGCCCCAACAGCATATTGTGCAGCAGCTGCACCCAAGTATCCACGGGCCCTGGGTGGCAGTAGTGCAGGCAGTCCCACCTCCCAATATGCCCATCCGCCCGCCACACAGCCGACGCATTCACATCCATGTACACCCCTCCCACCCCCTCTGCAAGCCGCTTCAAAATCTCATTCTGAGCCGCGTACCCGTCCCAGTGCCAGTCAGTATGCGGCAGCTTCAACAACTGCTTCACTGGTTTCCTGTGCAGCCAACACTGGGGGTGGCCCGCCGGGGTGTTGCGGACTATTATCAGCAGGTCGGGGTGAGTCTGTCGGAGCGCCAGCAGTGTGGACCGCATTTGCCGCTCAAACTGATCGTCTGGAATGTAGTGCGCGCCTCGGTTCATCACCACTATCGAGATGTTCTGCGCTGCGATCTCGCCCATCCACGACTCGTCGAAGCTCTTATCTACCATGAAGTCGTTGACTGCTTCTGTGGAGTTGAGGTAATAGTCTCGGACGAAAAAAAGCCGGACGGAGAGGCCTAGATCCGTGCAGAGATGGAGCGTCCAGCAGCGTTTGTCCGCTGGTTCCTTTGTCGCGTTTCGGTACCGCTTGCAGTAGCCAGTCGGCTCTCCCCACCGCACTCGGGAGTCCCAGTCCTTAGCGCCTAGCCTCACATTGAATCTGATGCATCTGCTAGAAGCATGCTTATAGAGTCACCCACTATGAGCACGCGCCTCCCATCCAGAACTTGGCAAAACCTCAGAGGATCGAACCACTCCCAGAGTCCACCACATTTGCTGCCAGTACTGCTGCTGGTACTGCTGCCTCCTGTCCCTCCATCCCGGCCTTCTACTTCATTTTCTGGAACCATCCAGTAATACTTGAGCGTCTCTCTTACAGTCCACTTCCGTATAAGAACTTCCCTCTGCCGCTTCAGCTGCTTCAGCTGGTTAGCCTGCTGCCTCGACACCCCTTTCGCCTGCCCATCACCAAGACGAGCATCTCCCCTATTTGCGCCTGAACCTGCTCTGCTTGCGCAACCACACGATCCGCGTCTTGAAACGCCACGTGTCTCGAGCTCTTCTTCAGGTGGTCCTCGTCGCACTTGCTTGCTTCGTCCGGCCAGGGAAGATATCGCGGAGACACGTAGTGCGACCACTCTCCCTCCCGCCCTATGCACTCGAATCTCTCCCGAAATCTGCTAATTTTGTCGGGGGAATCGAGCACGGAGCCGGGGATTCGGGTCCAGAGGATCGGTGGAGGTTCGGAGGGCGGAGGTTCAAAGAGAGGAGGGACGGAGATGGGGGGATTGATGGAAGGAGGAGGGCCGTGAGTGGGATGGGAGGATGGTAAGGTGGCTGCTGGCGACAGCAAGGCGTGCGATGCTGGTGACGGCAAGGCGTGTGACTCCGATGCCAAGGTGAGATTCGACGGGGATGCTGTTGTCACGGGTGGTAACACGCTCACAGGCGAAGAGTCTGCGACGGTTGGTAACCCGACGGGAAGAGGGTCAGTTTCGTGATCGCCTTTATTGCTGGCGGGTTGTTCTCGGCCGAGTTGCAACTGTTCCGTCTCGACATGCAATTGATCCGGCTGACGTGGCTGCTGGAGTCGAGCATAGTCGTCGTGTCTATATATCCTTCCTGATTCTGCTGACGCGGCCGCTGACACTGCTGCCACGTGGGAATGAAACGGAGCAGCTACGGAAGCAGTGAGATTCGTAAAACCGGAGGCGAATCCAGGAGAGAATCTCGTGAATCGATCTAGTAGGAGCGGAGAGCTGCCGAGAGAGGAGCCGCCGTAAGTGTATATCCCGACGAGAGAGAAGGCGAGGGCGAGGGCGATCGCGACGGCGGTTTGAACAGTCGGGAGAACGCCGCCTGCTTAGCAACTTGAGGCTTTATTGTCGCTTCTGCAGATCCTAAATCCATAGAGCCGTACGATGACAGTACGAGCCCAGTGCGAGCCTCTCTAAGCGAGCGAGAGCGATCGCGACGAGCGTTTGAACAGTCGGGGGAACATCACCATAAGTGTCACCAATTATGACCTACGTCGTTACCGTACTATGACAGTGCGAGAGAGCGAGAGCGATCGGGATGGCGACGAGCGTTTGAACAGTGGGGGAGAACGCCAGTTTGGCTGCTAGCTTTGACCTTCGTGGCAGCTTCTTCGGATCCTAAATCCATAATTCCATTATGAGACGTCTCAAAGATCCAATCCCAGCTGTTCACAATTCCGACTAATTTAGAATCTGTAGTCGTTTCTTCAGATCCTAAATCCATACGCAGCTCTCCACACCTCCCACCTTATACCGAGACTCGCGGCAATTTCGGACTTTGGCGTCGTTTCATCGGATCCTATATCCATACCCAGCTGGCCACAGCTCCCACATTCACTGAACATGGGGAGGAAATAAAGACCTATGTCGTTGCGGCCAACGTCGAACGGGAGACGACGAAGCTTGTATACCAAGACAGGACTGCGGCTTGAAACCTGTCCGAAATTTGCGGCTTCACTCACTATTTGCTCCTAGAAGCTCCTAGAGTTCTGAGGGCATGGAGTGGATCCTAGAGTTCCTTGCACCTCTCAACTCAATAGCGAAGATTTCCCCAACAAGAGACTCGCGAGGTTTCTCGAAATATTTGCGAAGACTGTAACCACACCGAGCTGCACAACAATTCACGCCTCGTGATGCCCTGTGCTTTGACCCACAAGAAGACAGCAAGAGCACCACGTTAGCCAAGAGTGCGATACATATGATATGCAATGCATATAACACCCTAACACAATCAATACATATAACACAACACACATGGTTGCATTGAAACATTTCCAACCTAAGGAACGGAGGAAGGCAGTGCACGATTGAAACCGCCGATCGCGCACCATTCGATTGAACGACACCTGCTTTGGTGGTAACCCTGGCAGCTCTGACAGGATGCATGGGAGTAGGCTGGAGACTATAGCTCCATGCCACTTATATCAGGAAAAGCATCGCACGATTCGGTTGAAAGACACCTGCTTCTTCAGCCTGCCCCTCCCTCCCGCCCCACTCTCGCTCCCACCTGCATCTGTCAGCGTTAGACACGACTTCCCATGACTCTTTGATTGAGACGGGCTCTCTTGACCTCCTTTCTGCAGCATCCTGGGTGCTCACTCCCTGAAAGCTCCGTTCCTGGAAACTCCTTGCACCATACATCGTGTAAAGCGTTGCGTCCTCTCCTTACCGTCCATCCAGCTGCAGACTTAGGCGGCCTGTTGGGGGCCACTCTCAGTGTCTATGCCTTGAAGTGGGATGCAGTCGGCACTCTGAGATCGCTAGAAGTACCGCGCGTTGCCTTCCTCCTCTCCTTCGCCCGCTTTCTGGGGCTATCGTGCAGTGTGCACCTGATGGGTGCTCTCTGCACGCTGCAATACGCCTGCTTCCTCTTCATCCACTCTCTGCAGCTGTTGTGCAAATTGTACCTGCAGACGTCTCTCTGCAACCTGTTGTGCGCCTGTCTCCTCTTCCCGCACTCTCTCAAACATGGCCGGCTGCCGGCTTGAGTCTCCAGGGGGGTGGGAGAGCCTCTGAGAGGAGGACGGGGAGAGCTTGGGGGAGCAAGGTTTAGGGTTTAGGGCGGTGGTAGCGGAGCGGAGGAGGGGGTGGTGCCGGTGGTGGAGGTGGCTCGCCCGCTGGTAGTACTGACGAGGGGGCTGGGGCTGCTGCCCCGGAGCAGCAGCCCCAGCAGCAGCAGCAGCAGGCTCCGCAGCTGGACCAGCAACAGCAACAGCTGCAGGCGCAGCAGCTGCAGGCGCAGCAGCAGCAGCGGAGGGTCGGCCGTCTCCTGCCCGGGTGGCCTGGAGCTGGAGGTGACGGTGGTCGCAGTGGTCGCTTGCGCGGCATGTCGTCAGGTGGTAGTCAGAGTGACGGGCGCTGCCAGTACCAGCTCCAGACCGGTCCTCGCCGCGGCCTCGTGTGCGGTAAGTTCGGCCATACCCCCACTCGTTGCTTTCGTCGCCTAGACGACCTGTTTCATCTCCGCTTCGGCCCGTCGCCTGACCTCCCCGACTGGCACAGTCTGCTCCGTCGTCGTGTTCATATCCCGGATATGGACATGCATGAGATTAGCTCTACTTTGTATGCGCTGTATGTTGATGACTCTATGTAACTGGTTCCTATTACCTTGTGTTGCCTAGCGTAGGTGTGCCCAGTGTGCCTAGTTCAGGCTCCCCTGCTGCGTCAGGCGTAGGATCCACTGCCTTGTTTAGCCTAGGGTCCTCCCTCGCTCCTCCGACCTCTATCGCTGCTGCCGCGCTCTCCTTCACCCTGGACTCCAGCGCTTCACGGTGTTTCTTTCGCGACTCCACGACGCTTACGCTGCTTGCCGCTCCTGCTGTAGTTGCTCTTGCAGACCCTTCCTCCAAACCTGTAGTTGTCTGTAGCTCCACTACTCTACCCTGCCCGGCGGTTCCCTCAGGCTCCCTTACAGGCCTGCACATCCCCTCGTTCTCAAGGAACCTAGTTGGTATCGGCTGCCTCCAGGACCTTGGCGTCACCACTACGTTCCCTGGGCATGAGCGGTACGCTGTCTGTACTGAGGCCGCCACTGGTGCCCCCCTCACCACGTTCCCCCGGGACCTGGTGTCTGGCCTGTTCACGCTGGACACCGCTTCCCCCCCGATTAGGACGCCTCCCCAAGTAGCAGCATCTTCTCCAGTTGCTGCAGTGTGCTCGTGTCGGTACTCACCCGTCACTTCTGTGGCACCACCGTCTAGGTCACCCGCCCTCACACGTCTCCGTCACATGTCCCAGAACTGTCTTGTCCTAGGCCTCCCTGAGTCGTTCCCTGCGCTCCCCTCCTCACACGCGCCTCCGTGCACGCCCTGTGTCGAGGCACGGCTCCGTCGTGCCCCTCACTCCTCCTCGTTCCCCCCTACCTCCACACCACTGCAGACCCTGCACATGGACGTCTGGGGCCCCGCCCCCGTCCATGGGCCGTGTCGAGAGCGCTACTTCCTAGTGCTTGTCGACGACTACACCCGCTACACCACCATGTTTCCCCTGGAGCGGAAGGCCGACGTGCCTGACGTTCTTCTCCCGTGGCTTGTCTCTGTGCGTGTTCACCGAGGTCTCCCTGTGTTGCGTCTTCACTCCGACCGTGGTGGCGAGTTTGCCTCTGGCTGCCTTGGTTGCTTCTGTCGTGCGGAGGGCATCACCCAGACGTTCACCCTGCCGGACTCCCCGCAACAGAATGGGGTCGCTGAGCGACGCATCGGTTTGGTCATGGAGGTTGCTCGTACCTCCATGATCCATGCCGGTGCACCCCATTTTCTGTGGCCGTTCGCCATTCACTATGCCGCTCACCAGCTTAACCTCTTGCCACACCCTATGCAGTCGCAGGTTTCGCCGACCCTCCTCCGGACCGGGTCCCCTGGTGACGCGTCTGCGTTCCACGTCTTGGGCTACCTTGCTCACGTTCGTGCCTCTGGCACAGACAAGCTCACTGCCGGCACCGTCCCCTGTGTCTTCAAAGGTTTCCCCCTCGACTCGTCGGACTGGCAATTCTACCACCCGCCTTCTCACCGGTTCTTTCACTCTCAAGACGTCATGAGTCCGTCTCCTTCTACCACCGCTTTCCCCACCGTGGTTCCCCGGTCACTCCCCCCCAGTTCCTGGTGGCCCCCCCTCCCTCGGTCGACCATGTCCACCCCCCTCCTCGCCCTGCCCCATCTGGTGTGTCTCACGTCACCCCCCTCCCGTCGGTTGTCCCTGCTGAGGAGTCCGCTGACTCTCGCGACTCGGCGGATTCTCTTCCCCCGCCTGTCCCTGCCCCGGTCTCACCTCCCCTGTCGCCTCCGCCGCTGCCGCCGCAGCCGCACCCGCCGTCGTCACCGCCGCTGGGGTTCATGCGTTCTGGGGGTGCTTGGGAGCGGGCTGGAGCTGGTTCTAGAGCAAGCTCTGGGGGTGCTGGCGTGGGGCTTCTCGGAGGGAGCCGTGTTGTCACTGGAGGTTTTGGTGTTGGAGTCGGGCAGCAGTCGCAACTGTCGTCGCTGGTGTCCGCTCTTCGCCTCCTTGGTCTCACTTCCCCTGACCATCCGTCGCTGCCTCCCCCGCTGCCGCCGCCTCCTCCTTTGCGGGTCCACGGCCCCGTGTTTCCTCCCCCAAACTCCTCTTTGGCTCGTTTCCCTCCCCGTTCTCCGCCTGTGTCTCCTCCCCTCTCTCCTGAGCCGACTCATCCGTCTCACGTTTGGTCTCGTCGTCCGTCTCATGCTCGTCCTACCTCCCCTGTTCCGCGTTCTTACCTTATGTTGCTTCGCTCTCACGCGTCTCGTGCTCCTCCTCTTCTCCCGTCTCCTCCTCCGTCATCACTTGCTGTGGCACTGCCTCCGTTCTCCGAATTCCTCCATGCTGCGTGTCCCCTTGTTCCTCGTGTCCTTGCCTCTCTCGTTATCGACCCGTCCGTTCCTGTCTCAGTTCTGTCGGCTCTTGTCGCTGCTATCACTGACTTTGCCGCTACCCGCCGCCTGGACTATGCCACCGCTCTGGTCTGTGACCCTGCCTGCCCTCCGACCGTTGGGGATGTGGCTACTCTTGGCAGTGACGTCCTACAAGACAGGCAGTTCAAGCTCACTTTCCTGTCTAAGGCCGCTCCCCATCTCTGTTCCACGCTACTAGTTCCTGAGGGTGACCCAGACGCCCTCGACATCCCGACCCTCGCACCTACGCTGAGGCCACCTCGGGACCCTGGGCCTCTCAATGGATAGCTGCCATGGAGCAGGAGATACCACCTCCCCTGTTCCGCGCTCTCACCCTATGTTGCTTCACTCTCACCCTGTGTTTCTTCGCTCTCACGCGTCTCGTGCTCCTCCGCTCCTCCCGTCCCCTCCTCCGTCGTCGCTCGCTGTGGCCCCGCCTCCGTTTTCTAACTTCCTCCGTGTGCACGTCCCCTTGTTCCTCGTGTCCTTGCCTTCCTCGTTACCGACCCGTCTGTTCCTGTCTCGAGCCTTGACGCTCTTGTCGCTGACTCTGCCGCTACCCACCGCCTTGAATACGCCACCGCTCTAGTCTCTGACCCTGCCTGCCCTCCGTCCGTCGGGGGTGTGGCTGCCCTTGGCAATGACATCCTAGAGGACAGACATTACAAGCTTGCATTCTTGTTAGAGGCCGCTCCCCATCTCTGTTCCATGCTTCTAGTCCCTGAGGGTGATCTAGACGCCCTTGACATCCTGGCCCCTCGCACCTACGATGAGGCCACTTCGGGACCCTGTGCCTCTCAGTGGATAGCTGTCATGGAGCAGGAGATGGCATCTTGGAGATTCACCGGTACCTTCGTCGACGCAGTTCCCCCACCTGGGGTGAACATAGTCCATGGCCGATGGCTCTTCAAGGTGAAGCGCCCTCCTGGAAAGCTGTCTGTCTTCAAGGCGCGCTACATTACTTGTGGTTTCAGTCAGCGTGAGGGGGTTGACTTCTTTCAGACCTTTGCTCCGACCCCGAAGATGACTACTCTTCGGGTACTACTATACGAAGTAGCACAGCGTGACTACAACCTACACTCC